GATGATGACTGTTCTATACATTATTTTGAATATAAAGAACTGTCTTCACTGCATTTCTAAAAAACATAATGCATGGAGGTGTTAAATTCACAAGCATGGCCTGGTGGTTAGGCGCAATCTACGAGTCACAAATTTCAGTCTCCTCATCAAACATACTCGCCATTTCAGCCATTATAATGTGACAATCAATCCTGCTTTTCACTGGTAAAAAAAAGTAGCCCAAGAGTTGGGAGTGGGTGGTATTTAGTAGCTGCATCCTTTGTGGTCTATCACTGCTAAATTAGGAATGGCTAAGGCAGATAGCCTTTGATTAGCTTTGCACAAACAAACAAGCTAAGTTTACGTTTCTATTAATTAAAAACACCTACAGTTCCCAGTTAATGCTAAGAAAGAAGTTCATTTATATAACACCATACTCAGCATCTGTAAATAAATAGGAATAAACGACTATAAAATATTAATAATTTTTATTACGGTTTCAGTTTTAAAAATTCTAATCTACATTTGACATACACATTTGTTTATTAGGTGTGGCAGTTAAAGGCAACCATTTACGAGGAAATTTAGCTTTAGCAAGTTCTGTATTTAATACCTTTCATTTAGAAAAAAAGAAATGATAAAGAGTCAGTTTGTGAACTGACATCTACCATTACCTCCCCCTTTTCGTGTATAGCACCAATTAAAAGTAATCTCTTACGTCTATATACTACAAGGAGTTTTGGTGATAAGACTTAATTATTTTTCATGACCCAAAAGCATCAATTACTTAATAATTCAGTCTTACTGTCATGTTTTGCCAAAAAGTATTCAGTAACACGTACTAAATGTGTTTAACAACTATTAAATGAAGTGGTTGCTATAATGTTAGAGAGTATTTTAAATTTCAAAAACAAAAACTAGAACTAACAACACTCTGTGTAATGGCAGGGGATAGTATTAACATGGTAACTCAACACTCTATGTAATGACAGGGGATAGTTTCAACATGGTAACTCTCAACACTCTATGTAATGACAGGGGATAGTTTGAACATGGTAACTCTCAACACTCTATGTAATGACAGGGGATAGTTTCAACATGGTAACTCTCAACACTATGTAATGACAAAGGATAGTTTCAACATGGTAACTCAACACTCTATGTAATGACAGGGGATAGTATTAACATGGTAACTCAACACTATGTAATGACTGGGGATAGGTTTAACATGGTAATTCTCAACACTATGTAATGACAGGGGGATAGTATTAACATGGTAACTCAACAGTATGTAATGACAGGGGATAGTATAAACATGGTAACTCTCAACACTCTATGTAATGGCAGGGTATAGTATAAACATGGTAACTCTCAACACTCTATGTAATGACAGGGGATAGTATAAACATGGTAACTCTCAACACTATGTAATGGCCGGGGATAGTATAAACATGGTAACTCTCAACACTATGTAATGACAGGGGATAGTATAAACATGGTAACTCTCAACACTCTATGTAATGACAGGGGATAGTTTCAACATGGTAACTCTCAACACTATGTAATGACAAAGGATAGTTTCAACATGGTAACTCAACACTCTATGTAATGACAGGGTATAGTATAAACATGGTAACTCTCAACACTCTATGTAATGACAGGGGATAGTATAAACATGGTAACTCTCAACACTATGTAATGACAGGGGATAGTATTAACATGGTAACTCTCAACACTATGTAATGACAGGGGATAGTATAAACATGGTAACTCTCAACACTCTATGTAATGACAAAGGATAGTTTCAACATGGTAACTCTCAACACTCTATGTAATGGCAGGGTATAGTATAAACATGGTAACTCTCATACAACTAAAACAGGACTTTTAAATGGAGCAGCTTACACCTATACATATTAAGGTAAATGAAAGTGCTTTACTGAATTTAGTGCAATAAACTGAAAATGACATGTTCCCCCACTACTCACAATGTCTTCTACCAAAAGTACATAAATTCACAAATTAAGCACATATATATATATCTTAATAACCATACAGGTATGTCTGTTTGATTATACAACACCATGTCTTTAAATAAAAATCCCAATAGGCAAACATTATGTCTGATAAAATAACACATTATATCAAGCCCACCTTTTCACAGTAATTAGTTTGACCATCTATTTGCTCCAAATACTGATAACCCATGCAGTGCTAGTTTGACCATATATTTGCTCCACATACGGATAACCCATGCAGTGCTAGTTTGACCATCTATTTGCTCCAAATACTGATAACCCATGCAGTGCTAGTTTGACCATCTATTTGCTCCACATCCCGATAACCCATGCAGTGCTAGTTTGACCATCTATTTGCTCCACATCCCGATAACCCATGCAGTGCTAGTTTGACCATCTCTTTTTTAATGTTAATTTAATTAACAATATTTATTAAAATGTTTCATATATATATATATAATACTTTTGTAACTCTTCATTTATTATTTACATATTTATATTTTTATTATAGGGGGTGTTCTGCACTGTTAGTGTTTGCTTAGTATGTGTGTTTAGTGAATCTAGATCCTTGCCTTTCCAAAGCACAAAGGCCAGTGTTTTTGAATGACCTCTGGGTGGGATGCCAGTTCATTGCAGCAAGGAACAAGTGAGATAAAGTATGTTACTCAAGCATGACATAGGTCAACTACGAGTCCGAAGTACAAAGCCACTCAGTGATGCTGCCTGTATGGATTAACCTAGATACGAGATATTACTGGGATTAAAATCAAATGTATTGCTAACAGCAAGGATACCCAACTCATGTATCAATACACTTAAGTAATTGTAAGTTTATGTTTTATGGCACTGGATACATTAATTACTGGGTTTTTAGTTCTGATTTATATAGGAAGCTTGCTTCGATCAGAAGTTAGTAATAATAATAATAACCTAATTATTTACGTCCATTGCTTGCCTGGAAAAATCCCAAACTTTCATTGTGAATTAAACACTGTGATTCATGAAATGAAGTAAGAACACTTTAAAGTTGACGTTTCGTGATATAACTATGCTGTGGTGAAGCAAACAAATGAATGAAAGTAAAGTTCCTTTAATAAACAGAACAGTACAGCACATTCAACCCGAACCCATCTCAACGTGACATCAGTCTCGTGTGAAACATATTACAAAAATCGGTTCTAGGCTTAAACATTTTATTATTAGATCATTGGTCAGTCTTTGACAAATACATACTCAATTTAACTCATTCTATATAATGCCATTTTCTATGCCTTATGTACACTTCTGTTTATAATAACAATATTTTGGTTTGTTTGTTGTTATGCACAAAGCTACACAATATGCTACTTGTGGTGTGCCCAACATGGATACTGAAACACAATTTTTGGTATAATAAGCCCCCAAAATTATTTCTGAGCCCCTGGGGGGCATCAATATATATATGTATATTTTTTAAGAGAAGTTACACAAACATCAATATAAAATTAAAATATTTAAAGGAACTTTCAGAAAACTTCTCATTTTTAGGTTCTTGCAAGCCCTTGAAATTGCTATTATCTAATTCAAGCACTTTCAAACTTTTTAAAGGTCTGTGTGTGTGTTAACC